ATTTATAATTTCAAAAAGCTTAACATTACTTGTTTTGTATAAAAAAATAAATAAAATGTGATTTTGTTTTTTATTTTAAGAAGGAAAATGCTTACAATTCTCCTGTTTTTTTTTGTTTTTTTTTAATGGCTCTCATGCTTGCGACCTCTGGTCTTTAAGCCGGTTTTCCACTAGGCGAATTTATTCGCGCGAATCGAAAGCGTTGGTTCATACGCATGCACATTCACATTTCTATCGGGTTTTAGCGAAGCAAAAAAAATGCGCAACCAATCAGAGCTCAGAAAGGGTACCGAAGATTTGATTCGCGCGAATAAATTCGCCTAATGGAAAACAGGTTTAATGAGTCTCCCAGATCCTACAATTTCAATTTTCTTGTATACTTTTTTGTAACTTTATGATTTTATGTAGGTTTGATTACATTTATTTGTAATTGTGTGTGATTATACGTTTTATATTTGTTCTATGGGCCCTATATCTCCTAAATATTTTGCTCTCATTCGACTTATTATTTTTTATGAATTCTTAAAATTTTCTTTCAGAAATTTTAGTTTTGCCTAGAATGTTCTACTTACCATTACCAATGGACTTTCTATTTTGTGTTTTGGTTTTAAATGCCTATGACCTAGGCCTATATTGTTTGGGCCGGGCAAAGGTGTCGTTAAGTTTGTAAACTGTTAGCTCCAGCTCTTTCGTTTCCTACCTACGTAACAAGTGTAAGGCCTACATTTAAGATTAATAACAATCAAACCAAATATACAACTCGCATATAAATACTAATTTCGTTACGATATTTTAAAGTTTAATATTTCAGACATTGCATGCATTTTATGACATCGCCATTAGTAAGTGTGTTGATATCTTAAAAGGGCCATGAAGGCTTTTATGCATGAACTAATGACCCCATGAACAGGAATTTAAGCTTCACTTCGTGCGCGAGGTTGACTGACCATTATCCTTAATATTTTTTTAATCAATTGGTATTCATTAAACCAATGTTTTCGTATTACGATTAGGCTACATTTAAACGAAAACATTTTCTTATACATTTAAAATAAAATTATTCGCCCGTCCGTCCGTTATAGGGTGCTATACTGTCCATGCTCAAGTTTTATTTGTTAATATAATTCGTAATTTAGCTGCAAAACTACAGTGATTATAGTTTGACTACAAAACAACAATAGTCCTACATATATAAATTCCAAATTGTAGGGTAAAGTCATGGACCTGGATTACTACTATAGAGCCCTACCTTTCGAACACTTCCTTTTAAGTGGACACCCCTTACCGGACACTTTTTCGGCCACATAAAAAAGTATATTTTTCGACACTACGGCTAACACCAATTCAGGGGACACCCCTATTAAGGGGACACATTTTTTCTCACTGTACCTACCAGAATGAGAGGAAAGTGATTCACCCTCCTTTCTGTACCTGAAATTTCTAAGGTGTTCATATTTTGATATAATGCAATATAGGTTTGCCCATTTATGATTTTGATGTATGGTATCACGTGACCTATACGGCGATGTGCCTCTCAAAACAGGCCTTCATTTTGGTCTTAATCCAGTGAATTTTGTCGCATAATATTCACTGTGGGACTCATTATTGCCATGGTGACCGATTTAAAAGCAGAAGCACACTTGGTTCATTTGATGTTGCAGAGCTTTTTTTGAGCCGTAATAACGTTATCTTAGGATAGATAATACCGGTACGGTACTCTTTATTATAGGCCTATTATAAAATGTTTTTAAAGCAGGCATTCTCTCTTACTTTTTGTTTTTTAAGCAATAGTCCGTACTTAGGCTTTGCTTTCTTTGATCTATTAGGCCTACAGATTTATTTAGAATTATGAGATTGATAGCGTATACGTTTGTAATAAAAACCTTTTGTCAGAGTTGAATAAAACAACTTTTAAATCATTGTGGAGCTTCTTTAAGTGCGATATCTTATTGAAAAAATTAACAGGGATATTATGTATAATGACAAAGAAAATGGTGAACGAAAATGGGAAAAAATACAAAATACTATTGTAACAACATAAGAAAATGTAATAATGAATATTGGTCAGGTAGTATATTTTGTAGAAATCACACTAGTAAAACCATTTATTCCGAAGTACCAAATATAACTTTAAAAATGATAGGCCTAATGAAAGGCTGTAAACATTAAAAGAAAAAAAAAGTATTTTGTTTTTGTAATACAAATGTTTTTTTTCTAAGAAAAATGCTAAGGTAAATGGTGTAAACATTAAATATGATATGGTAATTGGAAGGAATTATGTACAATGAAAATGAAAAAATAAATATATTTAAGAAGTAAGTGGAAGATATATAACTTTAAAAAAAAAACAAGACTTTAAAAAAAATATATGTTACAGAGGGAAAGAATGAAAAAAATATATATTCCAATGAAAGCAAGGATTAAAATAAAATCCTTGATAGAATTGATCTAATTAATTTTATCTTCAGTGAGAATTATATTGTATATAAGCATGAGTACTATGTAAAATTTGTAAGGTACTGTGCATGTTATAAATAACAATTGTGTATTACATTGGAGAACGTATTATTGATATATTACATGGAATGACAATAAAGGTGGGAAACACCCAAGAAAGAAAAAATGAAAACGTTTCTCAAGGGCATGGGCCTAGAGGACGAAAGTTTAAGGAAAATTATATCATATTTGTGGGATAACAAAATTAAAATATCAAAATGTTTGAGGTATTTGGGGCGTCTTATAGAATATCAATAAAGGATTCCATAATAATTTAGGCCCTTTATTGTCTTATTATTATTGGTGTTTATTCAAAAACATAAAAATTAGTAACCAGAAGCTAAAATTAAAATTATAATCATGTGTATTAACGTTGTTAAAATTCAAACAATACGCCTTCCATAAGATAAAAAAAAAGGCGATTGCGCGAATCTATAAATATTGCAAATTAAGGTAAAAGCTAAAACTTTTAACAAATATTTAAAAATCATAATAAAAATGATAAAATCGCAATGATTACTGTATAACAGTTAGTAACGCAAAAGCCTTGTAAAGTTAGGCGCAAGACTGTCAGGTAAATTTAGTAAGTACGGTACGGTATATTATAGGTCTATGTTAAGTTTGAAATTCGTAAATTAAGATGAAATAAAGAACAATTCTTTGCACTTCTCACATTCATGGTCATTAAAAAATATAGTTTTCACTATAAAAGAAAAAATATTTTATAGAGACTTAAACGTTTGCCAATGATACCCGTGTTGAGATGGCGATCGCAAAACGCAATGACCGCCCTCACCGACGAAAACTTTTTTATATTGGACCAATAGGGAAGAATTGACTTTACTGTTTATACGACTCGATTCCTTATTATTAGACCGTCTATATTTTAATATACCGTGTTTAAATTGTTAATTTCGTGTTTACGTCATAAGTTTTTTCCATCCAATTATTGGCTGTAACACAGACTCAACACACTCGCTCCAGTCACTGTGTGCTGTACGCGCAAAATGTTCTCTTCTGTTTAAATCTTTATTTATTATGTTAGTTAATTTTCTCGGTCTTTTTTTTAGCATTAAGTGAAAATTATTATTTATAGATTGTGTTGCTTTTTATGCCTATTTTTAAGTTTACTCCATGGATGCACCACTATTTTTGTTGTGTATACCACCGATCTTATTATTATGTACTACAGGATCTTAAAATCATTCATTCTGATTTTCCGAAATATATAAATTTTAATTCCCTCTCCATAATCCCATAAATAATTTATCTTAATACGCAATTTTTCATAGAGACATGGTACCAATTTTGACATTTGTTTGTCTTGCATTTTTAATTTTAAATATATATTTTTTTGTTGCTTTTGTTTGATATACAGGTTTGTGATTTCTATTGGCCTGTATGAATGTTTATCAATTACCTTAATTAATTTTATCGGTTTTGTTTAGCATTAAGTTAAACATATTATTTCTAAATAGAGTTTCTTTATATGCCTACTTTTAAATTTACCTCACTGTCTGTAAAAATTGTTAATTTGGATGCACCACTATTATTGTTGTGTGTACCACCGATCTTAAGGCGTTAATCCTAACAAATTGATTGATTGATTGATTGATTGATTGATTGATTGATTGATTGACTGTTTTAACATTTTAATATTAACTGAATGTAGGCCGACTCATGAATAACCAAAAAAAAAAGTTTTAAAATAAAACAGCCTGTTTGGTTCTCCGACGTGTCATTAATTGGTATATTATAGTTATCATGCTACCATTATTACGATCATACCTTGTTTACATAATATTACTCGTGTATTTACTTTTTAATCGCACTGTGTCGTGTTATTTTTTCACTTTCACTGTAGTGTTGATCTACCGTTCTCTTAGCATGTTTTCTGCTGCCAAGTGGTTTAGTAGCACAATCGAGTAAATAGTAATCGACAAAGTTATTCAGCTGAACGATTGATTATTTTTTTATTGCAACATTGTCTTGCATTTTTACCGCATCTTGCTCCTCGTGTTTGCGTCTCGTCGTTTTAGCTGGTTTTTACAAGGTTTCTGTTACTCGCCATTTTTAATTAAAATTATTTGTTAACACACGGTAGCACTCACTGTTTTCGTGTTTATGTAAACAATGCATCAACATAATCTCAACGACAACAAATCGTTAATTGATCACTTCCATTCACGGAGACTCCAAAGCTACTACGAAATTCTACCTGTAAACCTTCTAATATATGTTTACCTTGGAGTTAATCGAAATGGCTTAGCACCCGAGGTTTTTACGTTCTCTGGAGGCGAATGGTTAGATGAGTAAAACAAACTTCTATCTGACCGAAAGCAAACCATTGAGCCACAATATTAGCCCTACGGGGATCGTCAAAAAACAGATTTCGGGAATTGCTGACTACTTCCCCTCTAGCATCTGTAGTTTCGTTTAGGATTAAGTCCTCATTGACCATTTTATTGTGTTTTCTTTAGAAACAATATATCAAAAACTTCACCTGAGCTACCATTGCCGTGCCTAGGGCTAAAGCCTGACATGTCCTCACTTGCTGTCAAACGCTGCCATCTTCACTTGCCCAATACTGTAGGCCTATACTGTAAGATAAAAGAATGACTTGATGCCACATAAACGCCTTGATAACATCACTGCGCCTACGATACTTAACTTAAGGGGGTCTTACATCGATGCTTAGCAAATAACACAATACTGTGATATGTTTTAATACATTATACAACATTACTTAAGTAGGCCAAACTAATATATTAAGAGTTTCACCTATTTTTACTATTTGCCAGCTTGATAATTATTAATATATAGGATAGTAAAAAGCAAATAGTAAATACCCTCCTCACCAAAAGAATAATTTCAAATCCAGGACGTGAAACTAACTATTAATTTTATTTGGCATAATGTGAATCATAATATTATATGTTAAGTGAACATTAATCGCAGGTGAACGATGCGTTAGTGTTGGTTCCTCTGCGTTATTCTGTTGCGGTTATTTGTTTTAGTTTGGTTAGCTCAGTTGACATTGTAGAATAGATTTTGTTTGTTTGTTTTTTTGTTTTTTTGTTTGTTTGTTTTTTTGTTTGTTTGTTTGTTTGTTTTTTTGTTTTTTTGTTTGCTTGTTTTTTTGTTTGTTTGTTGTTTTTTTTTTGTTTTTTTTTCTGTACACAGCATATAGACCAAGTATTATGCGCTATATAAATCTCCAACTATTTCCATTACCATTCATTGTATGTACTGTAATTTAATAAAAACAACTGTATGAAAGCTTTATTCAGCTCATGTTTTTCCTTTACTTTTAGGTAACCTTAAAAGGAAAACATCCTGGCTCTTTTATGGTGATTGGCGGTTAATCAACAACTCAACAGTCATTTTAAAAAAATACCTCTCGTTTAGTGACATGACACTTTAAATTTTATGTCGTCGGTATGCATGTGTCTTTATGCATAAGTCATGTAAAGTTTGGTCTTTCTCTTGGTCGCTTTAACACTCTGCACTTTCAACATTACCAGCCTATATAAAAGTGTGATATCAGTACTCGACTTGTGACACAAACACGCGAATACGCGGGCCTTTCTCTTTCTAGTAACTATAATATACCTTGACCAGGAAACAGTGAAATTACACTGTTCTCTGCCTTGACCAAAGGCATAATAATATTGATATCTATCGCTCGCTGACCTCTATAATCTGAACAAGCGTCAGTGAAATAGTCAACAAACTTTCGATTCAAAGGACCTATGGTCTTTAGGCCTAAACATCTGACCAATCACTTACTTAAAGCCTATAAATTATAGGCATCGGCATTCCAGCCTGAAATACAATACGAAAATTCCAAGACAATAAATCTTTTCTCTTCATAATCATTTTCTCTTTATTTTTTACTAATCATATCTACACCGCCCCCTTCAAACAGTCTAGTGGCAGATTCAAGGGCAGGTCAGCCGGGCCTCACTAAATTTTTGAAAATGTTTTTTAAAAATGAGAAAAAAAGTAAATTTACTCAAATTTATGTCTGAGAGTGTCATTTTCGGTCATCTAGAGGTGCCATAATCATACATTTTCTTGCCTCAGCGCCATTCATTTTGAGGCTATGGTGCTAGACCCTCTATGTGCGAAAGTCGCTCCCTGATCCCCCTCTATATTTCGAATTCCTGGATCCGACACTGCATTCATATAGTGCAGTTTTATCTATATGTATGTTTATGCTTTCGTTTAATGTTTTGGGTGTGTAAGAGCATAGTTACTGGCATATTCTGAGCAAGCGTCCTTCCTTAAGTTTTCCGGGCAAACCAAGTCTCAATCAATCAAGAAAGTGAATGGTTGATACTGTACAGTACCTCCAGAAAACCCCAAGTAGCAAAAGGATACAGTACAGTAGGACTACCAACAGCTTATTATTACCTAATGTACCGGATATTCCTTGAAGAAAACCCTCTGAGCCCCCAATAGCCCACGTCTGATCTAAACAAAGAATGGTGTAATGTGTAATAGTACTTCTTTGGCCTATATACATGTCAATGTCCCAGCCCAGTGTCCGAATCTGTGCCACACGTCACACGTCACTATTCGTTGCCAAACTCCGACTTTCTGTCAATGTCAATTTCACATTCGAAGAAAGGAAGTAATGTCATGTCTCTCGCGATCAGTAACCACCACTGTTAAAGTTACAAACTATATGATAAAGTGGCGGCAGTCTCACATGACGCGTCATAATTATGCATAGGCCTATAAACTTAATTCACACTAGAGAATTGAGATGCGTTTGCCTCGAAATTGCTCTGTGTACCAAACCAAACGTATGGGGATACATGCTCTGTCTCATGTCACATGCAGACAATTTGCTCCGAAAGGGGGATTGGCTTGTCCAACGGGTTCTCACCAACCTCAAACACTACAAATGAACTCCTATAGTCTATGTTCTAATGTAAAATAAAACTGTAGGCCTAAATATAAGCTTTGTAAGTTTAATTTGTATCTGTATCGTACTTTTTCTTGTATTGATTTTTGAAAATTTATTGTTACTTTTCAATTTTGATTACGAAATTGCCAATAAAAAACATTTTAATTAGACAAGTCTTCTGTATACTATCCCTGAATATACCACTAACATTAAGTGTTTTATTAATACTAGGCTTATGCCTTATATACATTTCGTATTGTAATACTGATTATTATTATTTATTATTTAATATTACCACCATTTTTTTCATTACTATATCGTGTTAGATTTTTTTTTTGGGGGGGGGGGGTGGAATTATTTCTTGAATTGCTTACATACCGGTACCGTAGGACCGATTATTATTCGTTTATTGTTCGTAAAGTCTGATGGTGTATGCAATTCCCAATATGAGATATGAGATTTCGTTAAATTGCAGATACCCTTATTTGTACTTACTGGCCTATATGAACAAGACATGGTATTAGTTTAGAAACTTTATTTACAACATTTTCTTGTTACTTTTGAACGCACCGACATTTGGTGTGTGCCGCTGTTATTTTTGAATACAATTATTATTATTGTTATTGTTATTATTGTTGTTGTTGTTGTTGTTGATATTATGATCATTATTATTATTGTTATCATTATCATTATCATTATTATTATTATTCTTATTATTATTACTATTATTATTATTATTATTACTACTATAACTATTATTATTAATGTTATTGTTTTAATTGTATTAATTTATTATTAATTGGAATTTCTTGTTTCTTTCGAACGCAACGTCATTTGGCGTGTGCATTGTTATATAAAATTATTATTATTATTATTATTATTATTATTATTATTATTATTATTATTATTATTATTATTATTATCATTATTATTATTATTAATAATAATAATAATAATAATAATATTTTCTTTAGTTTTCTGTACTGAATTCTGTCTAACACAGTCCTTCTATAAGGATATTATGTTCCAATCATAGGGCGACTAAACGTTTTCTCTAACCCTTCCTTGGTCATGGTTAGAATAAGAACCGTAGGTGTTGTAGCCCTTTTGATGGAGCATGTTTTTGCCAATCATCTACATTCCTCGAGGCACTTTTAGTGGTTTAAGTAATTTGAATTACTTCATTATGTCAGAGGAAGCAAAAGTACACTATCCTTGTTTCTTGATCAGTGCCAACAGATTTAATGAGAATCTTCACACTTGCATGTTAAGATGAATTACCATCAATTCTAACTGAATATAAAATGAAGCTAAAATGGGCAAGATTGAAAATTTTATATTTTTGTGTTAGTCTACTCATCAGTTATTAAATGTATGGTCCGCTTGTTGACATTACACTAGTTTGGAGAGCCTCACTCATCGCTGGCTTCATAATCGGAGATAGAACACATTTTATAAGAACACTGAGGCTGAAATTGTTTAAAAATAAGAACAAATTAAAAACAAGGCTGAGGTAAAATGTCAAATGAGGTTTTTAATTTTTTAAATAAAAAAACCCCAAAAACAATCTTATCTGTACCTTTGTTGTGCAATATGTGTGATTATGTTATAATACAGTACAGTAATATACTGCTATACAATAATAAGTTTCTATCTTTGAAAATTATTGTATAAAATAATAACAAAATATGAACATTTTGAGACTAAAATTTATTGTATCCTTTAGGTCTATATAAACTTAAGGCCACATCATCACAGAAACTGCAGTATTTGTGTTTGTATTCTATATAGGAAGTACTTTCCTAAAAATATTAGGCTATGATAGGATGTGTGATATAAGCATGCATGCTACATGAACCACGTGCCGTTCTGTACGTAGTGCCTTTAATGACACCAAATTTTATTAAAATTATTATTGGTTTTTTTTTCTCTTGTGTGGGGGGTAACCCACTTTTATTTAATCTCATTTATTTTCTTTTTCCATCATTTTATAAATATATACGGTATTTATAAATAAAATATCTTACTGTATATCACATTTTTTAAATATATACATGGAACATAATAATTACATAACAGTATTCAAATGACATAAAATGATAATGTAATAATACATTTCTGTAAATAACTTCTCAATAGTGTGAAATTCAGACCGAAACATGGATGTTGCAATTCATGCAACAATATACATTATACATATACATATATATATATATACATATATATACATATATATATATACATATATATATATACATATATATACACATATATATACATATATATATATATCTATACAGTATATATATATATTATATATCACATATATACATATATATATATATATATATATATATATATATATATATATGTATGTATATATATACATACACACATATATAGGCCTATACACATACAAATTATTATTGTTAATGATTATAACTTAATCGTTAGTTACACAAACGTCTTTCTATACGTGACACACAAAGAACTCAGTATCGTCTGAGGTTGATCTGGAAAAGATGGTATACGTGTACAGTATGTTTACTACAAAACCTATCATTTATTATCTGTCAAATTAAGGGCCATGCAAAAGAATAGCAAATGTTTAAAAAAATGTATGACGAATAAGCACAGTTCGTCTTGTGTACTTCATTGTGTATCATATATTCTAGTTTATATATTGGAAAAAAAACCCCAAAACAAGATGGTTAAAGCAGAATACTTTGATAATAATATAACATAGACGTACCAGAAAACTTAACAGGCTATCTAAATAGGAATGGAAAGATACGTAATTAACGATAATGGTAGCAATAATGAGTAATAATAATTTTAAGTCATATCAATGATGATGATAACGGGTGGTAAGATGGTATTGAAGCTGCAAGGAAAAAATCGTGACCATAAACAAAACAAGACCCTTGAAATTACCCTGGTGACCCGTACGAGTGTGCCGAGCCTCGATCTAGTTGGTGTGATCACAGATCTAATGCAATACCGATAGGCCTATATGATTTATCATTCGTGCTAGCAGATAACTTTGTACAATACAACTGACAGTGTTATAAAGGGTTGGCAGGAAACAAGTCATATTGCATTTGCCGTTCATATAATAACTTTGAATCTTCAGGTCACTCTATAGATCATCGTAATGCTTAATATAGAGCTTCAAATAAAAATTTTAAATTGGCCTATAACCAGTCATAATAATATTTCTGGAAGAGTGTTCAAAACTATGATGTCTTTCTTAGAAAACAAATCAGACGATATGCCGAGGGTATACTATAATGTTTCCCGAACTAACCACAATGAGTTAAAAAAAAAAAAAAAAAACCTGATCTATAAAATGAAATGATAGGCTATTCTTCTTTAATTCCTAATTAAACAAATAATATATATTTAATGCTTGTAGTGAAATAGTTTAAAAATTTATAAATCAATTGAAAAATACACCTGTTCCTGCCATTAAAATAATATAATAATGTGATAACTTACAAAAACACACATCAATTTCATTGATAGCAGTAAATTCAACTATCTATGCAAAATAATTGAAAGTTAATATTTTTCTCCGTTAGGTGGTTTTTTTTTTCATTCTTCAATAGCACCAACGAAAATATTACTTCATAATAAATTTGATACCAATAAAAGGTTTGCACAATAAAAAGTAAAACGAGCAATACGAAATAATAATTGTAAATATACAGTGATATAAAACGACAACCAATTATGCGGCTCTGACTTTTGAGAAATAATGTAGCGAACGCATTCGTGTCAGTTTGTACAAGCTGTTTATTCTGCTCCCTATTAATTTTTCTTTCATAAGTTTATGTATAGGCCTATCATATACAGTTATATATAACACTTTCGTTATTCAATTTATGCTATTCGTGGTTTGTGGGTTGGTTGGTGGGTGGGTGTGTGCTCGAATCGAGAGCTTTCCAGTCTGCTATGGAAATGATGTGCTGCAAATTTATTCTGTAACACACTACATTTTTCATTATTTAAGTTTTTCTATGCGGGAGCTAACAACTGACCAATCAGAACCTGTTATTTAGACTATTGAATACGCGCGCGTCCCACACACAATAAGGATATTCAAGGGGCATGGTTTAGTGGAACGATATCTTCATCATGTTTTGTTTTTTAAAGATATGCCTATATTCTTTATAAGCTAGGCTAGTTATTTGCAATTTTGTACGCAACCCATAGACTAGCGCCGCCACCAGCTGCCCACGTTTTAATAAATAATAATAATAATAATAATAATGTAGTTTTATATAGCGCACATATCCATCTAATGTAAGATGCTCAGGGCGCTTGATATGTGGACTAGGAACTCGATCAATGACATAACCCTATCAGTATAAATCCCCGATAAATAGGCTTATAGGCTTGTTCGTGATGATATTTCTTAAAGCGATGTAAATGGGATATTGTCACTAATTATTCCCTCGAATAATTAAAATATAACCCTTATATTTGCCTATTATAATCTTTCGGCCTATGATAGAAATTCAACAAAACAATCCAAAAGAATATACAACGTAAGATAGTCACCTGAGAAAAGCTGCTGACAGCAAATTGGAAATTTGCAAATTCCAAAATTGCTGCAATAGTACCGTAATGAAAGTTCGAACCAAAATATACTGTAAATAACGTTTTATTCATTATTTTTTTTAAATGAATACAAAGGCCTAATATATTAAAGTTACTTGAAAGACAAATTAAATTAGATGATTTACAACTTTGTATTTATTTATGTTTAATGATCATAGCCTGTGATTATTTTAGTTATTAATGATAACAGTTTTATAGAGTTATATGGACGACTCTTTATCTGGTGACCAGATATTAAGCAGGTATAAATAATATTTAAAAATAATTTATAAGGACAAAATTATATTTACATTATTAAATAATACTATTTTGTTTGTTATAGGACCTATATTTATATCTCACTCTATATCGTATGACTTTTTTGCTTGACTAAAGTCGAACGTATAAGCTGAAGGAAAGGCCTAAACGGTCTACAGACGTTAATAATGACCCAGAACTACAATCAACTGGCCAAATCTAGAGGTTGCAAATATTAATTATATGATTAGTTAATTTAATATTGTTTTCATAGTTGACTTACCCGATTTGCTAGTAGTAGGCCTAATAACAACAGTACATCATAATATAGGCCTTTGTCGTATGGACATTGTTTGTTCTTATAGGCCAGTTTTTGTATAACATTCGGAGTTGCTAACATTGTGCAAAAAAAAAAAAAAAACAACCTTAAAAGATGTTATATTTTTTTGTATTAAAAAAAATCTGGCGATAAAATAATCACATAAAGTATAATCGAACATTGCAAATGGAATTTCTGTGTGACTCTGAGAGGAGCGAATTAGTTTGAGTTGATCCCGTGACATACCTTGGGTGTAGTCAATTTTCTTAAATGACGGTAACTAATCGAGACCGTATATCATAATAGAACTCATTCAACGCCGTATACCTTCATTATTCTTTTTGAGTAGAGGCTGCAACAGCTTGAAAATAATCGTATTTTCTTGGTGTGCTTTTAGTGTCGCAGTCCAAAGTACAGGGAAGCTTGGATTGCTCCCGCGTCGCTCGTTCAGGGAAACCTCTCGGAAGCTTTAAAACTAATATAGTTCTGCCACAGCTATATTGACGGTTACGAAATGCGTTTTTCTGGCGCTGTTGAAATCAACGTTACATAGTTTCAAGTGTGAATTGTAAAGGTATTACTCCTTAAGTCTCTCTAATTACTACATCCAAGGTCATTCGAAAACTAGTAGCACTATAAATGTCAAAAGAGGATTTTTAATATCTCGCGCAGATAAATGATAAAGCAACATATGCGTCCGTTTTACTATTTTTTTTTATTCTCAGAAATTACAGAGGTTTAGCAAGTTATCATATGATTGCTAGAGTAGAAACGCTTTTCGTAAGTAGATGATTTGATAATTGCTTGATATAAACAATGAATGTGAAATTTTTACAAATAGCATTTTAAAGATTAAACTTTTACAAAATCGTTTAAGTGTAAGAAACTTCGCACTTTAGTTTTGTCAACAAATTCGATACAATCATTTTTATGTACAGTATTTATTTAATAGGTTTTATACACGTTTTACCTGCGGTACTGAATTAGTAGTATTATGAAAATATTATATAACGTCCAATAAGTAATAAAATTAGTCATGAATTTTACTTTTGTGAACGACTACTCATTTGTCATTTGATTGCTGTAAGCTACTATTTTTTTGTTAAGAAAAGTCACAAATATTTTTTCCTCTCCTCATATTGGGTATGCTCTATATCATACCGGTACAGCATTTCTAGCCCTTATAGGCTACATTTACTTTGAAATAGGCCGATTATTATGCAGAACATAACAAGAAAATGCTTTTAAATTTGCCAGGATAGGCCTAGCCTAGAGACGAATTAAATTCATTGGCATCAAGTAGTGTCAGTATAGTGCTCCCTGGTATTTCAAAATCATATTAGGCGTACATTCACATGTCTGTTGTTTTACAGTCAATTTATTATTCTTTTAGTGTATTAAGATACAATGTGCGTTGAAAAAACTTACTTTGTAGCAAGTAGGCCTAAGTTATTTTATATTAATTATAGCAAGATTTTATTTCTTCTGCAATTAACAACAGACACATTAATAACACTGTTCTCATGTTACTGTTATTGTTTATAGGACCTTAAATCGGCTGGTAATGATTTCTTTTGTAGTAAAACGACTGTTGAAGTCTACATATCTCAGCCTTTCGTTCGGATGAGTGCCTTTTTAGAAATTGTTAACATACAATATTTAATAATTTTTTTAATGAGCATTCCATTTCTAATTTATTTTTTCTCGAGGTTCTATATTAAAAACCTTGGGAAAGGGACGTAAAATATTTCCCTCAGTTTTTTTAATATTCAAATATCTGTATCATAGCCGTTGCCTATTATTTCTTCAAACACCCTTTCAACTCATTTCTAGAAAATCCTAAACAATTCTTTTCCTACGGAGCCTGGCTTTAAAGAGAATAAATAACTAGATGAAATAGTATTAATGCAAAATTCGGGTCATTCGAACGAAAAAGTATACTGTACTTCTCTTCACATGGTCAAACCGGGTACAGTGATATACATAAAGCAACACAAATTGATGATGATATCACCGTGAAGGATCTCTCATAACTTCGCCCATTAAGCACACTCACCACTCACTTTACCACGTGATCATTCGAGGAGAGAAAATATCAATCGTGTAATGCCACACTGGTGGACCTGATATTAAAATTAGATTAGTGTCAAAACGCGGCCAGGCAAAGATTCGAACAAAAGTGACAAAACTTACGGACTAACCAACATGACTATGAGACTGCGTTCTATTTGGGGTGATGTCACTTCAAATTATCGTCTTCGGTCGGCATGAAGCGGCGTTATAAATTAATACTTGTCCGGAATATTAAAAAAAAAAGTCACTATCAATGAAGGTACCGTACTATGGTTGGCCTAAAAATAAATAATGAACAAAAAGTAAGTAAGTTATTACCATTTAATGTAGAATTATATACAATTCATAATTTCGTTAAGTTACGGTACATAGCAAAATAATTAATGCTACAGGACTCATATATACGTTATTTACCGTATATAAATTGTCATATACATATATATGATGATAATGTATACATACATATGATATTATATACCATGATAAAGCATCCGGAACAATATACAGGCTTATGTACCGGTATAGAGTTAAAAGTCTATAAAAATATAAAATGGGTAAAAGTCCGGTACAGCATATAACAATTGACTGTATTTATGTATAAGCAATTTGATTATAACAGTACCGCCTATAATACTTATTTATTTGTTTGTATTTATAAGTATAGGCTGCCTTAGTAGGCCTTATATCGTATTCGTTAATAGATCTACTTCCCCTTACAGTACGTACCGGGTATACAATATAAGACCAATAATATTACATACGGTACTTTGAACACGCGTGCTTTCAAAATGGTACTCAAATTTTATGAAACACACGAAAATAACTGTTTATTGATACATTTCGTACTAAAACAGTACGGTACGGTTCTGTACTGTTAAAACTTCTTTCCATGTAATAAAATACCTAATAATAATAAAAATAATAATGATGATAATAATAACACTGAGTCTGGGCAAAATTTTAATGGTTTTTATTTTTAAAAAGTGTATTCATTCACATGATTTGTACAAAACAGTGCGGTACCATGTCAAATGGTCGCGTGTAGGCCTATGCTTGTATCCGATATACAATCGGATTCGATTGCTTATACTACAATGACAATATAATAATAATAATTATAATAATAATAGACCTAATAAGGCTTAATAATGATAATAGAATAGATATTAGGCCTACTATTTAAATAATCAAAATTAAAGATAAGACAATCTAGAATGTGATTCATCTTATAGGCCTATCATTAATAGACCCAAAGTGCTCCAATAGTTATCAATTTGAAAACTTGGAATTGATATATGGCCTATATAATTAAGAGGCCCACTGGCCTATGGTAAGATATTAATATTATAATCAATAATCTTAAAATTCTCAAATTACTGAGGTATATATGTTCGTATCGTACGAATACAAACGTGTCTACCACAAGTCAGTCATTCACTCACAAAGCGTTAAGAAATCTATTAAAATCAAATTATTCTGTACGACTATTAAATTTTTGCCATGCTATTCCCGGAAACTTTGATTTCACATAAAAACACGATAAATCGCTCAAACGACACGGAGATACAAACACGATGCTAATAAGTTAATCAGGATGAATTAATTGATATTATTCGAAGCGTGGGACTGGTTTGGCAATAGTCTTTTTATAAGTGCCGGACAACCAGAGAGATTTCTTTATATATTCAAATTGAAATTGTATAATGCAATTAAAATTATTGAAACATTGAAACTACTATAATAATTTTTAGCAACTTCAGCTCTGAAGCAGTGTTTGTTGCACTCGTGTTAAGCTAGCTGCTAAATTATTTTAGTAGGCATTGCTAATCATATTCATCAATATAGGCCTACGTTTAGGCCTATATTGTACACAAAGAATAATATACCTCCCATTCGGAAAAGAAACATAGGCCACATTTATACTTGTATTGACTCACGTTGTATGCGGAAATACTATTATTGTGTGCTTGCTTTACCTGGGATAAAAGGCAGCTTCATCTAGGTGTCGGCAATTATATGCTAACGCTTTAAAAATTGTCGATACGTTAAAAGTTTACTCAGGTTTCGTCGTTGTTTCAGGCTCAGATGAGAAAATCTTGTTAAACATTTGAGATATTCTGTTTACCCACGATATAATTTGGAATTCTCGTTATGTACAAATCCTTTTACTGAGGTGTCAATCACCATTTCGGTACTGTCATCGTAAAATAGATTCAAAGGGCCTCCATCGCGAGTGACTCACTGGGCGCATGCGCGAAGCGCGAGCACCGTATAAGTTCCTAGGTCTGGTTGGCAGATATGAAATCAGCCACCAGTGGTTAGGTAGATGTAAGTGAGATAGTACCGTGCTCTTCCTCTCGCACCGGGACTTCATGTCGTAGGGTTTGAACGGTCTGTGTGTGTGAAAGTAGAAATTGTAGGGCTTATAATGCAGACGATGGAAGCTATGGAGCCGATGCGGAGTAGCTGCCGATATTCAGACATGCAGATGGGCTACTACGATGATTTCAACGCCAACGCTGATGTGTCAAGCTACCACGGTAATGTAAACTCTGTATATTCAAACGGATATCATCATGAAAGTGTGCACCAATCGGCTCATCCACGCACCCCTGGTTCTTGTTATTCCCTTGAACATATTCCTGATACAGGATCAGAAGGTGGTCATAGGGAAGAGGACATGGAACACGTACTGGCCCCTGGTTACCCTGGGCAAGGGGAACGACGTTGTTTATTATGGGCTTGTAAAGCATGTAAAAGAAAGAACGTTGCAATGGACAAGAGAAAAGCAGCAACGATGAGGGAGAGAAGAAGATTAAGAAAAGTTAATGAAGCTTTTGAAGCCCTGAAGCGACATACATGTGCAAACCCAAACCAACGCCTACCAAAAGTGGAAATTTTGCGCAATGCTATCGAATACATTGAAAAATTAGAAAGATTGTTGCAAGTTGAAAAATCGAACAGTGACGGGAATGAATTAGAAACATTAGAAACAAGTTCGAATACCTCCGATGCAATGGTAAGTTATACTAAAATATAAGCCTATAGTTTAATAAAAGTATTAATATTTAAGTTCCTTTGCGTTATTTAATATTGTTTACCTCCATGTTATAATAAACATTGTGGGTGCACTGATTTTCTTATCAGTTATATTTCCTGTGGCCTACTCCGACTAGACGTTTAAATTGGTGACTGAAGGCTCTTGACCTTAATCTTAATGTTCTGGTATGTTAACATGTTTTTATCATTTTGTTGGGTCTGGAAAGAATGACAAAAGTTCTACAAAAATGATTATCATTTCAGAGAATGAGTCCAATTGAATTCTGGAATTGAAACAGTTTTCTAAATTATGTTAAAATATATATATAAATTTCAGGCTGTCTTGCCTCTTCTCCAGGTATGCTATGAATTGTATAGTAATTTAGAATAATTTGATAACCTTGTCGAATGAAATGTGTAAATTAAGACTATTACGACAAATCATAATATTATCAGATAACTGCAAATAACTCAATCGAAACCTAAATGGTTTTTTAAAAAGCCTGATTTGTCATGAGCTTTACGAAGCTGGACAAAACTCATCACGAGCTATATGGCTTAAGCTGATGAAATCTCTTCCATATTCAGGATATTAACCAACGGTTATTTAACCAAAAAAGTTAGTATTGAACAAGAAAGTGAAACTGCTGTATGTCATGTGGGAGTGATAATAGGCCAGTGAGTATACCACCAAGGTGCATGTATACCTGTGCGTTTGTTCATCTGCGCCCTGGGGCTAGTAGTTCCATCAATACTGTTGTGTCGCGAGATAACAGTAGGACGCCAGTATAAAGCACGCGCCATTGTCTTATTTCGGAATCTCCTTACATTTACACCTTATCCATCGGCTTCGTACCTTATCAACACATATCATTTCATCTATTTTGTTTATGTTCAAGAAAAGAAACAACACGCCATCATTAAATGCGGTATTTTCAGCAAACTCGCACAGTAATCTAGGCCTAGAATATAATATAATGCCTACACGATCTACGGCTACTATTCTGCGAGTTGAGGATATTATTCGACATTTAGCAATACCTGTGAATCGTTCTAATGGAACGCCATTATCACTCGCATCGCAATCATTTTATGAAATCGAACGATTAATTAATGTCCCAAAGTGTCGTGATTATTGCTGATGCTAAGGTGCAGTACACAAACGCACGTGTTGTATGATCACCATACCTGGTACCGGTAGGCCTACAAGCTCGTGTATCTCGGTTCCCCGGCTATTATTTATAGGCCTATATATTTTTTTATATTCTTATTGGACATGAATCGTTGCTATATTTTATATATAGGCCCTATGCTGTCTCTTATACACATCTAAACCCCTTGTAGTAGAAGTTTAAATTTGAAACGATTCAAAAGCAATTATTTTGTACATGTTTTACTATTGGATATGTAGCCTACTGTAACTATATAGATTTCCATTAAACTGTTATTTTTGTTGGTTATACAAGTCTTATAAAAATAGTCGTTCAGTTGTTAATTTAATTAACAAAATAAATCACGCCTCAATGCGTAATTATTAATTAAATTAGCATGCCGACACCTGGATTGGCAGTTATGCAAATTAAGTGAATCGATTAATTATTAGTACGTCAGGATATGAAGTCGTCTGAATCACTGGCCGTCAAATATGAAACCCTTTGTTAATTGATTTTGACATTCTAGGTTAACCAGCCCGATCTGATTGTTGGGTTGCCATACAGGTGTATCAATTTACCTAGATTAACAGTGTAACGCTAAATCTTCACTTGTAGTTTTAATTGTAAATAACGCGTCATAAATCTAAATATCTGTACTTTTGCCTCCTCATCAGAAAACGCAACCTAACTAGTCAGGGATGTAGAATAACACGTGTGTAGTATTCGCGTAACACGTTAAGTGTTTAAATGATCAAAAGATTCCATTCAGTACGGTTAACATCTGTCTATATATAGATAATATGTACGGTATTATGGAGAGTAAAGTGATGCGGTTTTGTAACTGCATTATTGCTAATACTGCTATAGTACTTGGGCGTTTGTTGTGCTATTAAAATTAGATGTCAATGCGATATTCTTCGTATTGATATACTGAACGTAACAAATTCTAAATGGAAGATTCGCAGGCAAATCAGTGCTGTGTTTAGTCATGTCCATAAAACGGATCAATTAGACACGAATTGTTTAAATCTGGCAACGTTTACTGTATGCTTTTCACTAGTTTTATCGTTTGGTATCATAGATGATCACGTTTCCCGCTTAAATGTTCAACATTAGAATATTCAAAACATTAAAACATCTGACGAATTCCGCAAAAAAACGCATAATGACAGTGATGTGATGACGTTTGTAAGACAGTCTTCATAAATATAAGAAAAGAGAACTGTGACGAAAAACTCAATAAACTACTCGTCACGAGTTTGCAACCAACACAATCTAAGTTATTTTCTATTATTTATATCATTATCATTATTAATACAATATCATCATCATCGTCATCATCAACTATTACTGTACTATCATTATCATTGTCATTATTATCATTATCATAATCATTATCCTTACCATCATTATACATAATAATATAAAGCTCAAATAATAATTTTGAATATTATTGCTATTATTATTGATATTACTCTTGTTGATATGTTTGTTTACTATTATTGATGTTTATTTTGTATCGTCATTATTATTTATATTTAATTTAAATTATTATTTTGAGACATTTTATTTATAGGCCTATGTTTATCTTTTTGAATAAGCCTATTATTTTTATTATTGCTATTAATATTAATGTTAATGTTGTTATATGCTATGGTGAAAATATATGGTATGCTATACGCTTCAAGTGTAATTCGTTACCGATGTCTGTCATGATATTTTATCCAATTACGTATTATCCATAATTGAAAGCAACATCAATTGTTGTATATGTACATGATGTATGGATACTATAGGATATAATAATATTGTTGATATTATCGCTATTAAAATCCACGCAAGACTGTACTCCAAAACCACACTAAATCGACGCTACACGTGCCTGTACGGGACTCCATTGACCTGTCGACGTTCAAGGTCAGATGATCAGATTTTTAACTGTGTTATTCCAACAAATGAACTGAACGTTCCACTTATATGTCAATCATTTTCTATACTTTCACTATTTATACTATTTATATAACTTTTAATTTCATATTGATTGGATTATTAGTAATATTAGGGCTATATTGTTTGATGATCATTGTACAGTACTTGTAACGGTCTTCCAAGTATAGCGTGAACAAGTGTACACATGTCCGTGGTTTGTTATTGTAATCCAACCTACTTATGTTGCTGCTGATAATGAAGACAATTTTCATTATCATGCTATTAAAGGGGGAAATTCCATAACTAATACTTTTCATGATTATTCCTCTAGACTTATGTGAAAGTAATTTTATAAAGTTGTTGGTATTATAGGCTCATACTATTAGGTGTTTCTTTTGTCTTGTCTAATACATAAGAAAAGAAATAGAAAAACAAATACATATTTTTAATATTATGTTACCACTACATAGAACCATTACTCATCTATTGTATTCTCTTCAAAATGAGAATGTTTTCTTATTTAGGCAGAATAATTTATAAGGATTAAATTAGTTTTATATATAGGTCTACTTTTTTACCTGGTGCCGAATTTACTGTATTACAATCCATGTTTTTTAAGAGCAGATTATGCATTGGTGGTGTTGACTTGAGCTATCAAAATGAAGCGTGTCATAATTAATTAATTACTTAAATATGGATATTATGACTCTACTTAGTAACAATTTTATAACCTTAGCTCTTAATAACCCCATATTATTAGAAAACAAAAATCAAAACCAGACCATGCCATAAAATAAGCGAATAAGCCAAATGCCATTTCATCTAAAATAATACCGTTATTCGTAGGAAAAGATATTTAAATACCGGTAGCCTACGCACAAAAGTTAAATTTCGGTATTTCTGCGCTTCACGTTGTTAAAATACGTTTATTAATTATGACAACGAATGATCAATCTGCTTCGAAAACCACTTGAATGGTTCCGATCTGTTTATTGTCGATAGAAATATTTAATTGAAACTATCCATGTGCGGGTCTAGGAAGGGGAACAGATATTCGAATTAGAGGGGAAAGTTTTAGATTCTTATTGTTGAAAGCAAGTTGATTTGGAATTGTCTTTGTTTGTATACCACTCAAACAAGCTCAATAAGTTTGTGTTTCCTGCAGCCTCTGTCTCCAAATCCCAACTTCCGGACTCAGTCCCCACACCGACACGTCTGTTTTTCATAACATCTAGCCAACTAATTCTTAAAATTTTCTTTCACAGACCAACTACAGTAATGTCATTTATTAAACCACTTAAAATTAGATACTGTTCGATTTATTGTTTACTAACATACTCGTTTACTTCTGCTCATCATGCTGAATAATCGAACATTATTGTTTGTTTTCACCCAATATTTTTTATTAACCAACTCCTTTGTGTTATGACGTTCCACGTTTTTGTCACTAAACCTGTGACAGCAGTTATTTCTTGTTGATATTATAGGCCTATAACGAATACTTACCTTTTCAAACAAACTTTCCTTGAAATAAGTTAACAAAATTAGTAGCAACATTATAAAGAATGAGCCTATTTACCTGTTTCCAATTCTTTAAAATCAGAACATGCGCCTAACAATGAGTATACAGTATTTGTGGCAAGAAACAACTAAAAATAATGATAATAGTTTTATGAAATACCATTTATCTTAGATATCTGTTACCATTTAGCACGCTTCTGTGACAAATTTGGCTCCATTCAGAACTGTAATCTCGCATAATTCGCTGCAATTCTTCACAGAGTAACGAATCTAATAGGGCCTATTGATCAGGAGTCCTAATAGCTTAACCATACACTCGAGTTGTTAAAATGTCGTTAAATCTGATTTTACTACCATATTTCATGAGTATAAATCT